CATTTTGAAAATACGAGAATGATGAGAGAAAAAAGATTTAATGCCTGGACTGAAAATGGAAAATAAACTCACGATAAAGAAATATAGAAAAATTAAGTACCGTAAAAACAACATAATAAAATAAATATTTAAAGATATGAAATAAACGAATTTTCTTGTGGATAAACTTTTTCACATTCTTCATTTTTATTTATTTTATTATCTCTATGACTTCATGTCCTACAGTATCCTTTAATAATATCCAATCCCACCTGGACTAATCTCTAACGTGGAAGCCTGAAACGACAAGAAACCGCTCGACTTTTGTGGCTACTTCAGCACTTACAAACGCTCTAAGCTTCCAATTAATTACAGAAGACTCATACACATTACTATAAAAAGGCCTACATGGACATACGGAAATAAACTCCAGAACAATCCTAATCCTCTCGTGTCTAACTTTGCTTCAATTCCTGATAACCCTGAGAGGCGTCTGAAAAGAAGATGGCCACGCGATCTTCTAGTTCAGAAACTTTATTCGAGTGCTAACAATGGGTAGTTCCTTTACAAATCTTTTCATGCCATTATATTTCTCTGTATCACATTCACCAGGTGAACAAGTATACTTATTTTTATACAGTTGTGAATTTCATTTCAAAATACATTTTTATTATTTATTTTTAACATTCTTTTCTTTTTACGGATCACGCCATTATTATCTATATATCATTAGATAGTTTCCAAGCTGTAATATGGCTGAGTGGGAAGGCATAGTAAAAAGAGAACAGACGGCGACGACGGGCTAAGAGAGTTCTAAAAGAGATCGGATTTAATTGGAAATAGATTAAAATGAGCGCCATTAGGCTCGCAGTTGAATTAAAGATGAGCCTTCCCGATTCAGTTGGCTTCAATTCCACTCCCTCGCCTCTCCCAGATATAGAGGCCCCTCTAAAAGAAAAAAAAGTCACCATAATACAGATTAAGTTTTAAATCAACGGTGGGGGTACCCTTAGCAAATCCTCGAGTCGATTTAGCCTCTCTCTCTTCTTTAGGATCCAAAACCCCCCCCCCCTCGATTTAAATCGCCCTAAATAAATATCCTGAGCTATCGCCGGATTTCGAACACTCCCTCCCTCTCTTTCGGAGTTTAGAGAATTAAAAAGGAAGGAATAGAAGAGCTCTATACATTTACCTGTAAGGCAATTACTAGGGATGAACACAGACAGTAATAGCTATATAGATATACATATCTGCTTCAAATCTAGCAATATGATTACACACACACACATATATAAAAGAGTGGTGGCTTCATACATTTCAGCTATCACTAGACTGTCGGAAGTCATCATACGTTACAAGAAACGGAAACAAAACACAAGAAGATAAAAGACGCACGGATACACCATGTTTCCAGAAACATAACAGAAATAGTCCATGTTAGAAAGTTAAGTGGGCTTTTAGGATACTATTAAGAGGAACCTTTTAGGCATCGGAAATAGCCTTGGGTGGAATGCTGCGAGAGCGAGAGAGACCTGATCTGAGCACAGGAGCAGTCTAGTCCATCAGCGTACACTTCAGTCAATATTTAGTATCAATCGCTGCGTCTTTATAAATGGTAAATTACTCCGGAGTTGAGATTTGCCTCTTGTAGCTAAAAAGATTAGACATTAATGTGATATAAATTACAATTACCAATAACTTTAAACCCAGCTAATCCAGGAATCGACACGGGAGCATAAATACCAATGTCTGGGAGAGCTCTTGACGAGGAGGTAAAGATAAAATGGACCGAGGGGAGAGGGAAGTCTGACGAGAATCTGTTCAGAATATACCAACCAAAGAATTTAAAAAAAAAAATAAAAACTTAAGCGGAGTGGCCGAGCGGGCAAACGCGTGTGCGCAGCACCGTGCGTTGCCCGTAAATCTGATAACCGAAGTTTTGAGATAAGCAAATAATTACGAGTTCAAATACCGGGGTGATCCTCTGGGATTTTTATCTCGGCATAATCTCCCCGCCCTGTCCCCTGCTCGAGAAAAATCCATGTAGCCTAAAAGGCAAGGAATAGACAAAAAAGGCTATTTTTCAGGGCAAATAAATTATGAACAAACAATTTATTTCACGTAAATTTACTTTTTTTTTGCAATAAGATAGTATAAATGTAATTCTTTTTTAAATATGTTTGAAAGATAATGAATTCGACCACTAATAATAATATCCAAGATTTATTTGTAAGTTAGAAAACAGTTCAAAATATTGGAACATTGGATAGGTATGTAATTTTTTTTTTTTAGTTTATGAACTTACTAAAAAAATAATGATACAAACTCCACAAAAAAAGTAATAACATAGAAACAATCCTAAAAAAAAAATTGTTTGTATTCATATGAATATTTAAGTTTTTGAGCAACAATGAGTACTAAAATCGTAATAAAATATTTTTATAGTTTCTAGAAAACTTCAGATATCAGTAGAAAATAGAAATCTTCAATGAGGGTAATAATAATAAAATAAAATAATACATAAATAAAATAGGTTTCCTTTATTTTTATAAATATTTGAACAATGTTATTGTGAGGAGGAAAATAAGCACTGTTACCAGGATGTATCTTAGTGTTTGAGAAAACAAAAGCTCTCTCTCTCCCCCCCCCCACCTTCGTCAGTCGAAAAATAGAAATTAAAACTTAACATAGACCCTGAATGTTTATTTACAGGGACCTGGGGTTAGGATCTAGGAGGCATCTCATCGAGCTCAGAGTCAACAACCAAACCGCCTCTTCTACTTCATTAAGAAAACTTTTAATAGCCCATCCGCCCCCTGAGCCTGGAAAAATATTTACACTCCTTCCAGCACTGTTAGGATTAAAAATACTACATTGGCCCACCTGATTTCACTGTTCTGACCGGAATTCCGATATTGTACTGATACATTACCCAGCATGTATCCTATTGATTTAAACAGAAATTTTATTTTAATAAGCGACCCACGGTTGTGATTTATTAACAAATGACGCCAGATTTGCCATTTGGTGGGCAAATCCGCACGACATACCTCAGTGACGTCATTGACCCAGCCAAAATATAATTAAAAAAACTCCCTACATCCTGGAACTCCTTACTCTGTGCTCCTCTATTCACTCTCTCAATACTAGGTCTCAACCTATAGACTTATATATTCCCTCACATAAAACTTCCTCCTTCAGCAAATCCTTCGTCATTCGTGCTACTTCCTTATGGAACTCACTTCCTACCCCCATGCGTCAATCCTCTTCCACAAATTCCTTCAAACAACTCCTATTCCAACACCTACTCCACATTCAAACTTCCCCTAACATGTAAAATTACTTGCATCTATACAACGTTTAATTTCAATCCATTGCACAATTGAAATAACAATTAACAATAAATTAGTTGGTAATTTTATTATGTCAGACTAAGATACATAAATTTGTAACTCTGTTATTATTCTTAGGGGACAGTAGTCCCAGAATAAAATTATTTTTTCATTTCAGATTACTAGGCCCTAATGATTCACTTCAGGAAGTGAATGAGTTAAAATAATGTATTTTACTGCATTTTTTCGGAAAAAAATAATAATATAATCATCAAATGGAGGCAAACTAGATCTCAAGACGAGTGAATGATTTTCCGACTTCTTAGAAGAGACTTTTTGGCCAGTCGACCATATCAAGATAAATAATTACTAAGTTATGCTACATTTACACCTCATGTATTGGGGATAAGTGGGATCTGGGGGGGGAGGGGGACTTGAAAGACATCTTAAGATTTGCGGGATAGTAGACGATGAACTCTGCAATCTGTGCCAAAACGCACCAAAAAGTTTCCTCCACTATATAACAGAATGCGAGAGCATGATGCTCCGGTCCTTTTGAGCTTCATTAGAAGAACGAAAAGGTTTGAGACAGAGTTGGAAGTTTAATACTGTCATTGGTAGTATTGTCTTTGGGTTGGCAAATAGGCCTTCTAGCTAGACTTAATCCCCTCACCAGTAGCAGTACCTACATCTCATTAGAAGTATGTAAGTGTTTAAAGTAACAAGCCTAGAGGACCTGGGCCCAGCTTTGGGAATCATTTGAAGACTAAAATAAATTTAAAATATCAAGAAAGAAATTAAGGCATGGGAAAGCTGTAACCTCAAGAGCAGAAGACACAGCATACTCACGGATTTCTTATCACAAAAGAAACACCTCTAAAAAATGTTAGGTGCGATGTACAGCTGAGCATTAGCGACATCTTAAAGGACTGCCCGCTACACGAGAGCTATTTTCATTATTTGGAAATAGAAAGCAACTTCCAAAAAATGCCGAGAGATATTGTTGTAACATGACAAACATTGTAAAAATCATTGAATTTCTAAAAAAAAAAACAAAAAAAAAAAACAATATTTACTATAAAATATAATAGAATAAAATGAACTCAAAATAATATAAAAAGAAGATCAATGACCCAAGGTGTTAAGTGTTCAAAAACAACAATCTAACTAATGTAGACTCACTTAGGTCGGCAAATTCGCACGACATACCTCAGTGACGTCATTGACCCATAAAGCTTGTCTTGGTAATTAATAGCCCGTTTTTTTTTTCCTTGCCCCTCCTACCCTTTTGGATACAAAGGTTTTTCACGTGTCAGAGGAGAGCGCGGGGATCAATGACAGAATTAAAAGCATAGGGGTTAGACTTAGTAATCTTCATGTTATTAGGATGCCATGCAACACGTGTATTGGAAACACACTATATACATGCAGTATATGAAGTTGACAATGTTCCAAGCACTCCTCTAGATATAGAAATACTTATAACATCAACACCAGTAAAAGGTTTGTTGTTCATTATCTAGGAGCTTGTAATGAAAGACCGATCCTAACATATTGTATTGTTTCCGGCAGGTACCAGTAACAAACATGGTATTCTTTACAAGCATACACTTGACATCCTGAGCTCTATCGTAACCTAGATATTATTATTATTATTATTATTATAGTATACTCTTTATAATTACTGACCTGCTCGTACTTCTCCAACTCTTGGTGGTAGATCTGCCTGATCTGGGCGAGCTTGGCACGGTAGTCGGAGTGCTCGATGGCGTTGTCTTGGACCTGGCCGCTGGCCGCCGCGCTGGCTGCCGCCGCCGCGCTCACACCGCCGCCCTTCTCCGGCCCCGCCACCCCCTCCGCGATCAGCATGTTGTCCAGCCTCATCAGCTGCGGGTCCGGCGGCTCTTCCTCCTGCGTGTTCCTTAGGCTAAGCACTGCAACAGCAAGCATGTATACATCAGTATAAACATTAAGTGGAAAATATATATATATAAAGGAAAGTAAATAGGAAACAACATGAAACAATCTAATGACAACAAATAATTCAAATTGCACGGCTGTTCAACTGTGTTGAGTTGCTAAATCAAAAAATATATACACTCATCAGTCCAACAGTCGTTAGAAAACAAGACTAAAACAGAAAGAATATCACATGTTAAGACCCTCATTCTTTCTTTCGGTCTACAGAATCGACTATGTGAAGAGTGAATCAATATACGTAATTATGAAAAATTACTGATCAATCTTTTTTTTTATTTATTTATTATATTTACAACTGTATTAAGAAAGAATACATTAAGTAAATGTGATAACATAAAATAAAAACATGAAAAAACTTGTTGAGAAATTACCCACTGATAGCACTCTAAAAAAAAAATGTATTTACAATAGAAGATCACGAGGCCATCTCCTCGGAGGGTTATCAGGGATCGAATAGGAAAAAAGGTTAGAAACGAGAGGGTTCGGATGGTTCTTATGGAAGGATAAGTATCTGGATTGGGCCAATTTGGAAATATAAGGAACATAAAGGTCTTGGGTGGATGATTTTATTAGTGACAAAGTAAAGAGCATTGAGGGTTTTACGAAGGATTTTGGATTGCAAGGATTGAATGCGTGAGGAATTCGATGGCTTTGTGGAACCCCAAATCTCAACTCCGTTAAGTTCAAATAGGTCTTATTGTAGTCATGTATATGAGTCTTTTGTAATTAAATGGATGTTTAGAGCGTTTGTCTAGTAAGTGCTGGAGTAGTCGGAAACGTCGAGCGATTTCTTGTAGTTTAAGTCTGGTATGAGGATTTCAAGTTAGACGTTTGTCCAAGCGGAGTCCAAGGTACCGGATTTGTTCAACAGGGATAAGCGGGGTATACTGATCAATCTAAAGTAATAATTTATGCCTTGATCAGTAGCAGTTCCATTCCAACACCGACCCACAGCATTTATTGAACAGAAGAATAGTTGGAGTGCTCAGTCAAAAAAGGAAGGCAAAAAATAAATTATAATATTTATTTTTTACATATGCCGACGTTTCAACCTGAAGTTCAGGCCATCATCAAGGCTAAGAAAATAACCAGATAACAAGGTATGAGAAACATAAGTAATGATGGTAAAAAAGATAATAAAAAATGAGAAAATAAAATAGATTAGATCTAGATAAAATAGATCTAAATAAAAGAAAAAGAAAATAGATAGATATAAAGTAAAATGAAATTGTTAGAATAATGACTAAGAACTAAGAGATAAATAATAAAAACTGTTACATAGTGTGGAATGATGAAGTAGGCATAATCAAAAAGGGGTGACAAAAGTGTTACATTGGGAATCTTAGAATGAAATGTAAAAACATAAAAAAGAAATATAAAGTTATATAAGAAATGAGAATAAAATAAATAGTAAATATATTTCATTAATATATTTTATATTATATTAATATATTACTTTTTTATGTTTTTACATTTTATTCTAAGATTCCCAATGTAACACTTTTGTCACCCCTTTTTGATTATGCCTACTTCATCATTCCACACTATGTAACAGTTTTTATTATTTATCTCTTAGTTCTTAGTCATTATTCTAACAATTTCATTTTACTTTATATCTATCTATTTTCTTTTTCTTTTATTTAGATCTATTTTATCTAGATCTAATCTATTTTATTTTCTCATTTTTTATTATCTTTTTTACCATCATTACTTATGTTTCTCATACCTTGTTATCTGGTTATTTTCTTAGCCCTGATGATGGCCTGAACTTCAGGTTGAAACGTCGGCATATGTAAAAAATAAATATTATAATTTATTCTTTGCCTTCCTTTTTTGACTGAGCACCCCAACTATTCTTCTCTTCATTATCCACGACAGTCAACCAATTACCAATTACAGCATTTATTACTTGTAACAGGTACTTGTAACAGGATTTTGTTTTCTACTTTGGGACCTATTTCAGGTTAATATAATAAAGACGAAGACGAGACTGATAGCACAAAAACCCTAGGGCCTTGCTTTGCCAACACACTTCTTAAAAGTATGGTTCTTATAGATTACAATAGCGATAGGGAAAACTTAGCAAATGACGCTGACATCAATGGATATATATTCTGTTCTGGCTTAAGGAGACAGAATTACCTTATTCTCCAATGATAACTCTATTCAATGCACCTACAGTCTCAGTTTGTTGTTCGTTATGCGTTATTAATACCATAAAACTGCTACTAGATAGCCGACAACTTTTTTTTTTCAGTTTTGTATCCTCTTGTTTGCTTAGAAGCTTTCTAGATCTTTAGCCAACTGAACCAGTCTTCTCCACTACTGTCACTTGGGCTTCGACATTCGAGCTTTCCTGTGAAATTGTAGTTCACATTTCATTATGTCAGCAATAAGTGATGCAACTGTACATATTCTGTATATGTATAAAAATAACAAAAAAAAAAAAAAAAAAACGCTGTAACAACTGAAGCAAAAAGTAGCTGTAACTGATAGGAACATTAGAGGAGACAAGAGGCGTGACGCGAAGCTCAGTGAGGTTAATGGCGACCAAATTATAGCTCATTCTCCAATTTCCTCTCTTTGTTTCCTACCTCTTTGGGCCGCAATTATTTTTTGAAACTCTTTCTACCTTTTGTTATTTTATATCATTTCATTTCAATTGTTGCCCAGCGACTCCCAGCTCCCATTCACTGCTTCCGGAAGCTCTCCATTTAATTCCCATGCCAGTGCTCTAGCTATATCCTAACGGCTAATAACTTAGATCCGCTTATTACAGTACATCGCTTTGTGGCAAATTTTCGTTTAAACTATATCAACTTATTATTTCATAGTAGAATGACAAAATCTTGTTCAATTTATTATTATTGGAATGTTAGAAGGATTTTAATTTTATAGATTTGTAAGGTTGAAAAATATACAAATTATATATTTTTAAAAAATCAAAACACACTTTGTTAGAACTAACATCGTTAGAAAGCTATTACTGTTGTATCAGTACCAATGGTTACACTATTAAGTGTCGCAGGGACAAACCTCCACTTTCTGAAGGACGGATGTTGCTCCTTGCAATAATTTGAATAAATTATGTTCCAGGTAGTGTGCCCAAATGCGAGACCGAGACGAGTCTTGGTCTTGCAAAGTCAGTGTTGGTCATGGTCTTGGTCTTGCGCAAGACTCTCGCAACAGTCTTGCAGTTACTTATTAGCTTATTATTATACATATATTACTGTTTTTTTTTTTTTTTAGATAGGAGAAACTTAACTAAGCCCAAATGAAAAATTAAAGGAATTGAATGCAAAAGTATATTAGTTATATCAATTATTAACATACAGTAACTAAGATTGTCAAGTATTTGTAACTTTTCTGAATTAATTTTAATTAAAAAAATTGATTTTTTTTACCAGTCCTGGCCTTGGTCTTACAACAGTTAAGAGGCTTTGGTCTTGGTCTCGCCAATTGCAAGACCAAGACCGATTTTGGGCAACACTAGTTCCAGGGGTTCTTACTCCAGCGTGAATAACACCAATTTGATAATTTAACAGCAAAATATTTATTAAATCATTTAAAAAAGGTATTCAGACTTTTAAGCGTAGCCAAGATGTGTGCACCGAACTATTAGGGGACGGATTATCAGAAATCATTAGGAGGATGAGCTTACCGCCCGGTGGCTTTCTGTGGCCGAGGACTTACCTGGATGGAGAGGTGACTCAGTTCAGTACAAGTACCCAGGGGCTTAATACAAATTTAAGTCGTCGTGAAGCTGACCGCAGGGTAATAACAAAGGATTACTCTACACAAGGATAAGATAGCAAAGGAATTCATAGATACAAATACATATACATCAAGAGTTGTATGCTCATGGGTATTTTATAGAATACTTACGACAATTACTTTTCAGGTAATACTCAATAATTATTAATATGAAACACAGTAATCATACATTTAAACAAAATCATGTCTAATTATTAAAAGATAAAGGCGGGGCGTATTTTAGAAAAGTTTTGAGATGAAAAAGTAGACTATATAGTTTTTGGCTTTCCATGTTGTCTTTTGCCTGCCATCTCAATAGAACACCTCAGCATTCATGGTTGTGTAGAAGCTCACTGATGGATTATTCCGAGTTACATTCTTCACCGATCTTAACCTCCTTGCCTTCATATAATGAGATATTGATTAACCAGTTCCAGTTTCCTGTTTATTGTTTCGACTCTGATTCCAAATCGCTTCGGTTATAGTGCGGAGAATCGTCTCTTAAAGTTTTCAATATTGGAGAACTCGCTTTATGATGACAACAAAAATAAAAATACGAATACATATATTTTGCTGATGTAGCTTAAACCTCGAAGGACAGCTCTCAATTTTGAGAGTTTTCATTGGTGGAGTGGTCTAGAATCATTTTATTTTATTTATTATATCTTGATGTTATATCCTTCAAGTTTACATGGCAGGTTTCAGATCTGAAACACGACTAAAGAGTCCAACATCGAAGCTCTCACAAAGCCAGTACCGACCCGCTCAAGGGCTACTTTATTACCACTATTATACAAGGGTACGGCAGAGGTACAACAGCCGTACACGTCGAGGTACAAGAACGGCTACGAAGATGATGGAGCGAGGTGCGCTAAGAGACAACAAGTGCGACGGTAAACAGGGCCTGTACAAGGCATTAACTGGATTTATCGCTTGGCTTTCTGATAAATAGCCGCAGGAAGAGCATGTGCCTGACCGTGCCTCCTGGCGTCACCGTCCACGGTCAATGGCGGTGTCATCGTAGATGACTACACTTTCGTTAATAAACAATAAATAATTTTTTTATTATAACAATAATAGATAACTCCTAACATAGACTTGTTTTAAGATTTTAAATATAAGAGGGGTTTGAAATGAAAATGCTCGATAGTAAAAAATAAATATTAAAACCGTATTTAAAATTTATAATCTAAAAAAAAATCAG